GAACCTTTGGTCTAATAAAACATCGGTACCTAGTCAATCGTCCTCTGAGATTTGTTTTCATGATAATCAAATGTAAAGAGTTTTATCTCTAAAAACTGTTTAGCGTATAATGCTAGTAATGGGGGCATTGACTAAGTAAAAAGAAATCGCTAGTTTATACCACTAACAAGGCTCAAAATAGCCCCACACTAACGCAGTTACATAATGAGGCTCCATACGTGCAAAACGAAGCATTGAGAACTTTGTAAGTGTACAGACCGTTTAATAAGAAGATACTTTATGAAGACAGTTCACTGTCTCGAAATAAATTCACTGTCACAAATAGTCTCGATAAGTCAAACCACGAACGCCGTTCATACAGTTCAGAAGTTCGTTGAACTTCATACAGTTCAGATCACTCAGCACGGCGTTCGTGGTTTGACTTATCGAGACTATTTTTTAAGATGGCTCCTGTCTGTATACTCGAAGTGAACTGTCTTCATAAAGTATCTTCTTATTAAACGGTCTGTACACTTACAAAGTTCTCAATGGTTCATTTTGCATGTATAGAGCCACATTATGTTACTGTGTTAGTGTGGGGCTATTTTGAGCCTTGTTAGTGGTATAAACTAGCGATTTCTCTTTACTAAGTCAATGCCCCCATGACTAGCATTATACGCTTAACAGTTTTTAGAGATAAAACTCTTAACATTCGATTATCATGAAAACAAATCTCAGAGAACGGTTGATTGTGTATCGATGTTTTATTAGACCGAAGGTTCATTGTTCGCCAGAGTTCTCCTTTAACAATTACAAAACTGAACTGAGGTCTTGCTCCTTTGTTCAGATCTTTAACTTAAAAGTTAGTCCAACGTCCTGGTGAAAATTCTGGCCATTGAGACCCTGGCTTAATTTAGGAGGTGGATCTATCTTCTGCTTATCGTTATCTGTGATCTGCCTGGTTTCCAGCACTTAGCAGAGGAAATAAGACCACAGTTTAAACATTATAGATTATTATAATCATACAAAACATTTTACACAGATTTCAATCAAGCCATCTTTTGAATTAAGAGCGTACAATCTTTCTGATAGTAAGCACGAGGCACTCTCATTCACACACAATAGTTATATCACAATTACAGGATTTATATGTGATCTAAGCATAATAACCACATACATATATTGTCGAAACAACAAGAAAACAGAGAATTGAATGCAGTTGCCTAATGTTGGATTGTAAGTCCGTCAGTAATTGTTCTGAAGTGAGTTAATGATTTTATGTGTGAGATCTCGGAGAGATCAGAAACTCAAAATCTTGCCAAGTAAATTTTTCTAATTTCTAGTCAAAATATCTCATCACACTTAATATTAGACACATTCACCTAAAGAGCAAGATTTAAGTGAGATAAAGGAGCTTGTTTTTAGACAGTGCATCTTGAATATATTGTTTAGAGTAACTGTCTTGAAAACATCTTGTTTTGAGTCATATCTCAGATGAAACAAGCTTTTTTGACATTTCATAAGGTTTTTAAGCTGCTGTGTTATTTGTAAAAGATCAAGATTGTCTTGTTTCAAGAAATACACTTGACTTGAATTGAGACAACAAATCTGCTTTATTGAAAACTGCAGGTTAACACAAGCTATTTTTGTTAAATTTCCATCAAACTATGTCTATGTGATATGTAAAAAAGACAGAGGCAAAAGCTGGAATTATGTTTTCTTCTGTTCTGTTGACATAGTGCACCAGTGATGCGCGGGTCAATGTATAAACAAACCGCAACCGACCGACGTTTTCAACTACCCGCCCGCAACTCGGACCGCAAAAAAAAGTAAAAAAAATATTGTACCCGACCCGCTTCCTGACCGCATTTTTTAAAAGTAGTAAATGCTCATCGGAGCGTTATTGGGCCATAGACGTGTAACAACACAGCGTCGCAAGTAGGCCTACACATAACAAAGGCAAAGCCAGCACTTTGGTCATCATATTTCATTATTTCAGCAAATGTCTCCCACACTTTTACTCTTTCTATTTGTGTATTTGCGGAGCTTCCACTCCCCAGTCTTCACCTTTTCTCTTGCCGCCTTCATCTCAGCAGACTGTAGTGATCATAGACATGGCCGGTTCGTGAACGAATCGTTCTTTTGAACCGGTTCTTTTTAGTGAACCGGTCGAACCTACACTAAATCGAACTGAATCGTTTGAAACAGTTCGCGTCTTGCGTCAGTGCTGATCCACAAGTTAGTTACTTACTTTCAGACATGCCTGACAGTCGCCTCCGAATCGAAATAAATCAATATCCTGAATTCTATTTTACTCCAGTAACTCCAACAGTTCACTGAACTGAGACATGTTGGTGCCACTGTTGAGAGAAGTGATGAGCACGAGCAGCTGATACTGCGTACTACCGAACGCACAGGTACAGCGGTTCTCGAATCACTAGTATAGAACCGAGAACTGTTTAGACTGAGCTTGTGTGTCATCTTCGTGCCAGTTATTCAGCCAATAATGTGTAGGGCTGACCTCCGTGAAGTTGGCCCCCCACCCAACGCAAAACGTTGTCAAAATATGCTCAATCGTTTGTGCTCCGTTTGTGCTGGTTTGTGCTGTAAAAAGTTTCGTTTGTGCTGCTTCGGTTTTTTAGATATTAAAATAATATTTTTAGGTCATTCTGAGGTCACTCAGCCCCCCCACATGATCAAAATTCACCCAAAATAGTCTCGTTCGTTTGTGCTTCGTTTGTGCTGGATTGTGCCGGTAAAATTTTCGTTTGTGCTGCGTCGGGTTTTAAAATAACAGACTTTGAATTATAGGCGATGACGTCATCAGCCCCCCGCATGCTCAAAATTAATCCAAAATAGTCTCGTTCGTTTGTGCTCCGTTTGTGCTGTTTTGTGCTGTAAAAAGTTTCGTTTGAGCTGCTTTGGATTTTTAAATATTAATCATTGAAGGTTAGGTCGATGACGTCACTCAGCCCCCCACATGCTTCGAATTCATCCAAAATAGTCTCGTTCGTTTGTGCTCCGTTTGTGCTGGTTTGTGCTGTAAAACGTTTCGTTTCAGCTGCTTCGGTTATTTAGATCTTAAAATATTTTTAGGTAGGTCACCTGAGGTCACTCTGCCCCCCACATGATCGAAATTCACCCAAAATAGCCTCGTTCGTTTGTGCTTCGTTTGTGCTGGATTGTGCTGGTAAAAAATTCATTTGTGCTGCGTCGGGTTTTAAAATATTAGACAGGTCATTATTATTGATGACGTCAGCCCCCCCACATGATCCAAATTCACCCAAAATAGTCTCGTTCGTTTGTGCTTCGTTTGTGCTGGATTGTGCCGGTAAAAGATTCATTTGTGCTGCGTCGGGTTTTAAAATATTAGACAGGTCATTATTATTGATGACGTCACCAGCCCCCCCACATGATCCAAATTCACCCAAAATAGTCTCGTTCGTTTGTGCTTCGTTTGTACTGGATTGTGCCGGTAAAATTTTACCGTGGTGGCGTCGGGTCATAAAATATTAGACTGAATGAGAGAGAATTATATACAGTTCTCCAGATGTTTTTGTTTTTTATAGCTAGCAACAGTTAAAGACCGAAACGGCAAACCAAATCACAATATTCTGTAACCCATCCTGTGTATTCAACTCTTTTTTGGACACTGAGCATCATTGGATGTGTGGATTGCAACACAAACTCCAAGGTAAGTGTTTTTACATATGATGTTTTGTTAATAGCCTAACATAATATGACCATTGTCAAAAATACACGCACCATAATCTGTTTTGTCTGTTAGCGTGTGTGTAGGCAGTATACAGTATCCTAGGCTACGGGTCAAAAGTGTTTTTTTTTTAAGCTCACCAAGGCTGATTTGTGTTGTTGTTATTGATCAAACATACACTGATATTGTAAAATATGATTACAGTTTAAAATAGCTATTTTCTGTTTTAATTAAATTACATAGTATTAATTACATGTCAAAGCTGAAATTACTGTCATTACTCCAGTTTTCAGTTATTCCTCAGAAATCTTAGTAAAATGTTGATTGATCAATTATTATTGGTGTTCAGTTAAGAAAGGTTTTTATTTTTAATAAATGTTGAATAGCCTATACCCATTGCGTGGGTTTTGGATGCTTAATATTTTTGTGGAAACCATGAACTTTTTTTCTGATTAATTGAATGCGTCCTTGCTAAATAAAAGTAGTATTCTTTAATATTACTTAATCAAAAAAACTTTTAATGGTTGTATCTTGGTTTACAGAAGAAGAAAGAACAATATTAAGCAGCACAACTGTTTTCAACATTGATAATGATCAGAAATGTTTCTTGAGCATCAAATTAATAGCATCGGCATATTATCTGGATTTCTGAAGGATCATGTGACACTGAAAATTGGAGTAATGATGCTGAACATTCAGCTTTGATCACAGGAATAAATTACACTTTACAATACATTCACATAGAAAACAGCAGTGAAATAATTGTATTTTGAAATAATTGGATCAAATAAATACAGCCTTGGTGAGCAGAAGGGACTTTTCAAATATTTTCAAACTTTTCACTGGTAGCCTACTGTGTGTGTTTGTGTATTTATGTATGTGTATATATAATTCATTTAATAACTATTATTATTATGTATGTGGAAACTCATGACAATGAATTAAGTCAAAATGATTTAACTTTTGAAATTTAATCATATACTATCGAACATCCATTAACCAAAAAATGTTGACCTTTAAAAACTTTAAAACTCTTAATAGTGACAAGTCACTGTCTGTCTTCAAACCAAAAATACCACACAAAATAATACACTTGAGTGCAAACTTCCATAAAATAGCACACTACTTCTCCTAACAGGAGTAGGAAAACAAGGGTGTGTGGCACACAAAAAAGTTCAACAAAAATAATTTAACTTGTGCAATTAAATTAAAATAGTGCATAAAATAATTATTCTTTTATGTACAATACAGCATGTGGGCATATTTTGTTTTTCTCTGACGCTCCTGTCACTCAACTTCTCAGGTCATCAAACATCTCCCAGACACATGGAGACCTCCTGCAGTATGCCACATAATGCCCAAGAGCATCCTGGGTTAAGCCTCCTCTAAAAGCAATGACTGCCCTTAAAGTAAATCTCTCTCCTTGAAGCATCAGATTGGAGGGAAATTCACACAAAGGAAATTCTGCAGAATTGCTTCCCAGGTCAGTGTCAATCCACAGAAGTTCTCCCAGACTGTAACTGTGAGAAACTTTCCCTGCACAGAGCACTTTTCCTGAGCTATCTGTCTTGATTGCAGAGGGACACTGTGACGGACTTTGGATCGGCCTGAGGCAGGGGGACTCCGGCAGGTGAAGGCCTTCTTCCACCGCGGTCTGAAGATGAGCCATGCCAGAAGCCTGCAGTACAGCAACAGATGTACAAACAAATGGAATTTCCCTTGTGACTTGTTGGCTGAGACCACAATATTGTGAGGAGCACTGTTTTGTTAATGAAACACAAGCACTTTTTGTCATTGACTTTTCAATGATAGTGGAGATGTGGCATTGTGCATCAATTTGGAGAGCACCAGACTTCAGTCGGACAGCTTTGAATATTTCACTCAGCAGCTCTGCCCTCTGTATGTAGGCCTGTGCATTCAGACCCTTTGTGGTGATTGATTTCACTAGCTGGAGGAGGTTGTTGGAATCCTCATTGCAAACAATATTTGCAAAAGTGACGCTATCACAGTAAGCACAACATAAGCATTGACAAAAAGCATCAAATGCACATGTGTTAAGCACAGAGATTCTTGATTTCCTGAGTTTAACTGAGTTTAAGGCTGTTGATTGTTTCCATTTTTCAACAGGTCCACTTTGAGTCTTTTCCCCCTCACAGATGGATCTGCATGGAGCCATTCAGGACAAGGAGAGAGGTATGAACTCCTCTTCCTCTTTTTGGGTGGAACCGCTAAGCCTCTCCAGTTTTCCACAGCTTCTTCATCTGTTGGATGGATCTTTGTGACAGTATCAGACTTCCCAGAGCAGGAAGCATCCATTTCTGACATTTTATCTACACTGGAGGTTGTTGTGGGTAATGGATTGACTCCGGTGTCGATCACTGTCGCAACAGCTGCATCCTCTTCATCTTTTTCCACTCTCTTTTGTTTTGCAGAAAAAATACGCATGTTGCCTTCAATGAAGGAGAGATGTCGAGCAATGAATCGATCCACACGAATAGGCAAGTTTTCATGCTTGAAAAGGCCGCGCTTGATGTTTTTGAACTCAGCTTCGACATTGGCTGAAGTTGCGGTGATGTTGGAGCTCCGGAAGTGAGGGATCATTACCCCTGTCCAGAGTGGTAAATAATTTGCAAGCCAGATTATATTGGGAATAATCTCGGGTAGAAAGTGCATGTTGTCATGATCACCATTAGATACGGCAAGTGACCTGCTCTCCTCACATATGTCTGTTACCCATTTCTGCAGGTCTGTCTGTGTTTCGTCACATGAATCCACTTCTTCCAGGTCCTCAACCTCTACATCTGGAATGGTGACACACTCTTCTGCAATTCGGGCTTTCAGGTATTTCTTGCACCTTTCTGAAATGAGGGGTGCTCCAGAGCTGTCATTGCCCTCTGCTTCGCTGAGAGCGACAATAGTGATACTGCTTAGTAGCTCTCTTGCATCGTCCATGGATTGTGACATGAGAAGCTGAGCCATTGACCTCACAAAGAAATCTTTAATGCGATGTGTTTTTTTTTTCAAGCAGTCCCACCGGCAGATCATCTTGATGCAGTGTGCCACATCAACCCGAACAAAACAAGGTGGGACTTTTGCTGACTGTTTACCGAGTAAGACTCCACAACACTCATTGATGTAGGTCTTAAGATCAGGATGAGGAGTAAAAGCCTTGACCAAAGCTCCGAGCAAAGCCAGAGAAAAGTCGCTCACAACCTCTTTTGGAGAAGGTGCACCTGCGCGTATCCATTCGGTCAGCCAATGTGTTATGGCACTAACATCATGTCTCTCTGACAGCATTTGCACCACTGGGACACTTGAGCTCTTACCCCCTGACACAACACCCTGGTACAGGAATATATGGCCGGACTTGCCATTTGGTCTCTGTAATTTCCTCACCACTGAGCCAGTTGCATCAAAACTCACAGTGGGGTTAGTAGATGTCTTTGTTAATGTCTTATACATATACATTTGTGTTTGACTCCAATAGTGACAGAAAAACTTGTCCAGTCCAATGTCTTTAATGCTACCACTGTGTGGTGCACTATATTTTAGCATCTGCAGTGACAAAATAGGATCCTTGTCGCCTAATTCTAAATCTCTTCGCTCTTGCTTTGCTTTGCGCAGGGTGGCCAAATTAGGCAGATGACTTGGCTCAGGATCTCCAAAATCCATCAGCTTTGATGCCTCTGATGCCCTCCCAGACATGGGATTCCATTCTACCCTCACACAGTTCTTTAGATATCTGCACTCGCAAGTTACCAGACATCGCACGCTTTGAACAGCCAGTGTGCAGGGAGTCATCACTGTTTTCAAGTGAACACTTGAACACCATTGTGGTGTTTAATTCAGGCTTTTTGTGACATTTTACATGAATGTGGCCACAGCACTCCTTACAGTTGCCTCTGATTGTAATGTATTTGTCTGTGGCTGATGGATATACCTTGGCTCTTTTAAAGGCAAATGTGCAGGGGCATTTCACCTCTTGCCAGATGTGATGATTTATCACATGCGTCCAGACACCAGGCTTCAAAATTGTGTATTCCCTTTTTTTTGTTTTAGAGAACTTGTTTTTGTATGTTACCGTTTCAGGCATAAATTCAATCCATTTCTGAAATGGAACTTCAAAATCAAAAGTCCAGCAATCTTTTGGACTGGAGGAAAGAGACCCTGGCTCGAAATCAGTGTCATCACTACTGCCACTTGTTTCATGATCCCTTTCATGAGTAAACCCTAAAGCAGTCCAGATGTTGTGTCTGTTTAATTTAACAAAAGTGTATAGTGCCTTTGCAGTGATCTTATTGTCTAGCTGTTTACTAAGCTCTCTCCAGATGCTCTGATTAGGAGTTGCTATGTTGCCATTTTGAACTATAGCCTCTTTGGATGAACACAGGACAGTGAAAATGGAATCCCTGTCGACTGCAGGTTTCTTGGGCATCTGGCATAAGCAAAACATAATAACCCTCTTTAGTTATCCTGACTCCCAAAAATGGAATGTACAGCATAAATTTGTTTTTATCTATTACTGGTCTAAATACAAGGACAATATAATATAGTAAGGGTAATGTAGATGGATAATATATCTTATATTAGGACCAATATGGTGATGTTAAGATTGTCAATGTTTTTTGAACAAAAAAACTCATTGCTACTACTAATATCCCTAATTTAGCTATGAGATAACTACAGCTGCACATTTGACCCATATTGTTTTTGTTTAATACTAATTGGCAACTTATGCAAATGTAATCAACATTTCATAAAATGAGTAGCCTAATATTAGTAGTAGCAGTGAGTTTTCTGTTCAATTGACATTAACAATCTTAGCTCTCTTGAATGTTGTACAATTATTCCTGAAAATACTAATATTGTAACTGAAAGTTTTAAAACAATGTATACTTACATTGGCCAGAAATTTGGATTTGTAATGACTTGAGGTTTGAATTATATCGACCTTTTCTCTACTAACTTTACTACACTGTTCTACAAGAGCATTCTGAACAGAAGTGTCACTTGCCCCTAGTGGTGGCAGTGAAGCATAGCAGATGATACTCCTTGTAAATGAATAAAAAGTTCAATCAGGAGAGACCAGTGAATGAAGTAAAAATATTTGTTTATTGAAGAAATAATGTGATGACAGAAAGTCTTTGTCAATTCTATTTTTTAAAAGTGTGCTCACCTTGAGGACATTTTTGCTGTTCTCGTGCCAAATTTGCTGAAGTTATTAAACTAAATCCACATTGGCCTAATTTGATTTCATGTCTAATATTTTAAAACCCGACGCAGCACAAATGAATCTTTTACCGGCACAATCCAGCACAAACGAAGCACAAACGAACGAGACTATTTTGGGTGAATTTGCAACATGTGGGGGGGCTGACGTCATCAATAATAATGTAATGTCTAATATTTTAAAACCCGATGCAGCACAAATGAATCTTTTACCAGCACAATCCAGCACAAACGAAGCACAAACGAACGAGGCTATTTTGGGTGAATTTTGATCATGTGGGGGGCTGAGTGACCTCAGGTGACCTACCTAAAAATATTTTAATATCTAAAAAACCGAAGCAGCTGAAACGAAACGTTTTACAGCACAAACCAGCACAAACGGAGCACAAACGAACGAGACTATTTTGGATGAATTCGAAGCATGTGGGGGGCTGAGTGACGTCATCGACCTAACCTTCAATGATTAATATTTAAAAATCCAAAGCAGCTCAAACGAAACTTTTTACAGCACAAAACAGCACAAACGGAGCACAAACGAACGAGACTATTTTGGATTAATTTTGAGCATGCGGGGGGGCTGATGACGTCATCGCCTATAATTCAAAGTCTGTTATTTTAAAACCCGACGCAGCACAAACGAAAATTTTACCGGCACAATCCAGCACAAACGAAGCACAAACGAACGAGACTATTTTGGGTGAATTTTGATCATGTGGGGGGGCTGAGTGACCTCAGAATGACCTAAAAATATTATTTTAATATCTAAAAAACCGAAGCAGCACAAACGAAACTTTTTACAGCACAAACCAGCACAAACGGAGCACAAACGATTGAGCATATTTTGACGACGTTTTGCGTTGGGTGGGGGGCCAACTTCACGCAGGTGTAGGACGATATATTTCATCAAAAATTGTGTCTAGTACTAATACAAATGTTTAAGTGGCATCTTTTTTCAAACGACCCGACCGACCGCGACCCGAATATCATAAAAAACATTTTTGGATGACCCGTAACTGCGGGTAACCGCGGGTGACCGCAGGCACCCGCTCATTTCAGATCAACCCGCGCATCACTGTAGTGCACCCCACTATTCCAAAAGTAATAAGTAAAAATAAATGCTGTCATCAACGGTGTTTGTCAGTGCTTAAAAAAATTAATTGCGCCCATATACCCACACTCAAGACAAACTCAAGAATGATGTTTGATGATGTCTGTGAGACCATACTTCACTGGAATGTACTTGATATTATTGAAGTTTACATAGTAGTATGGTGTATAATCAACAAACTTTTCAGCATCCATGAAAATATTGGCTTGAGCTAGGTCGGGAACTTCTACCTCATAAGCTAAATAATGATCATTCCACCCAACTGTAGAGAGTGGTTGGCATTCAAAACAATACACTGACGCATTTAAAATATAAATGTTTTTCACAAGTGCAAACTCTGGAGTATCATTGATGACATTAGAAATAAACAAAGATTTCCACATGTATGCTTATTTCCATGTTGCATAATCCACTGTACCGAAACTATGTGTTCAACGTGCTCTATTTCTAAGAAGTCTTTAATCTTTCCCTCTACATAGTAGACATTTTTCACCTCAGAGGCTGGGCCCATCTCAACTTCACTTGAACAAATTGAATGTTTCTCTTGCACATTCTGACTACATTCATAAAGTTGTTTGGGCTTCACAAGAGACTTACAGATATTTTTAAAACTACTTTTCAAAGCCCACTGCTTAAAAAAGCAATGCTTTGATTCAAAGCACATACACATATGCCTAACTGTAGGACCAAGTGCCTTAATCTGAGAAGGAAGATGCAGCAAGTAATGCTGTTTAGGGATAATATTTGCATCTGGAAACAGTTGTTTGAAATGTTTTAAATGTTGCTCCATTAAAAGCTTCAGCCTTGAAAGAGTTGAGTGAGCAATTATAGGTGAAAACAGAATTTGGACTATCTCTAGTTAGTCCAAACCGTGGGTTTGCGGACAAAGGCCCATGTTAAAAAGCTGCCAATGGACGCATAATGGCCCAGAGGGATTGTAGGAGATCGTGGGATGCCCACTCTCCTATAAGCTTGGTGAGGACTGAGCCTTTCACGACTAACCTCGATTTTACCAATACGCACGGAATTCGGGCGATTCGGACGCCTCTAGTTGGCGCTAGAGTGCGAAACCCCACCACCCCCCCATCCCACAGACCCACTATTTGTCCAATTGTCCACTTTGTTGGTCAGATGTTCCCGGGATACTACCCCACCCCCTCCCGGGCCACGCCCCCGTCCCACGAAACCACTGTTTGTCCAATCACCCACTAAACTGGGCAAACGTGCCGGGACCCGCCCCCCGCCACTCCCCTGTCCCACGGACCCACTGTTTGTCCAATTGCCCACTAAACTGGGCAAACGTCCCGGGACCCGCCCCCTGCCACTCCCCCATCCCATGGACCCAGTATTTGTCCAATAACCCACTATATTTACCAAAAGTGCCGTAGACCCACGCCCCCACTCCTGGGCCACGCCCCCATCCCACGGAACCACTATTTTTCCAATAACCAACTATATACCAAAAGTGCCGCGGACCCCCCCACCCCCCCATGCTCCGGGCATGGTGGGGGGCGCCCGACGGGGCCACCCACCCCGATCGCGGAGCCCCAACCCGGCCAGCTTTTCCGGTCACGCCTCTGGGTTGGGGTAAGGGTAAATTGTTACGTT